CTCTTTCATTGCTGGTGAGAATGCCATTTGGTTCAGCCCTTTTGGAAAACTGTATGGACAACTCTCAAAAAATTAGAAATTGAGCTCTCATTTGACCCAGCAATACCACTCCTGGGAATATATCCCAGAGAGGCAAAAAAAAATTATAGTCAAAGTGACACCTGCACTTGTTTGTTCATTGCAGCACTGTTTACAATAGCTAGAATCAGCAAAAATCCTGAGTGCCCGAGAACAGAGATCTGGTTAAAGAAACTTTGGTATATCTACACATTGGAGTATTATGTAGCTGTTAGAAAAGATGAAGTCATAAAATTTACATACAAGTGGTTTTACATGGAAAGTATCATACTAAGCGAAATGAGTCAAGAGAGAGGGACAAAGAAAGATTGCATTCATCTGGGGAGTGTAAAGTAAGAAAATAGGAGACTAACACCCAAGAATAGCCGAGAGAAGTACCAGGAGATTTTCCTCATGGCTTGGAAGTCAGCTGCACACGCTAGGGGAAAAGGCAGCTCAGATAGAGAAGGGAGCACCAAATAAAGGGTGTTGAGAAGATCTTCCCAGGATGGGAGATGCATGCTTAAAGTAGACTATAGACCAAACATGGTTGTCACTCAATACCTCTTTTGCAAACCACACCACCCAAAAGGAGAAAGCGAACAAAAGGGAATGCCCTGCCACAGAGGCACTGTGGGATGGGGGGTACAGGGGTTGAGACGGATACTGGGATCAGTATTGGTGGATAATGGGCGCTGGTGGAGAGATGGTACTCGGTCATTGTATAACTGAAACTCAAACACAAAAATTAGGAAGTCTACAACTTTATCTTATGGTGTCTCACTAATAAAAAATTTAAAAAAGAAAAGAAAAATATAGATATTGAATCTTCTGTTAGGAACAACAACAATAGAAAACAACATTGTCTTCCTTAAATAGCTGTCTTATTACTAAATGTTCAATGCACATAACATTTTCTTTATACTTGTGATGCAGGCATGAGCTCAAAAATTATTATATCATATTAAGTAATATGTAGATTTAGAATCAACATATTTTTACCTTCTTCGTATGGTTTTTGCCACACTTGGTAGTGCTCCAGTCTTATTTGTATCTCTATGATCAGGAATGACTCCTGGTAGGTATCTGGGGACCATATGTAATTCCAGGGGCTGAACTCATGTGGGTCACATGCAAGGCAAATACAAGTACCTACTCAACTATTGTTCCACCTGATAGGTTAGGTGTTTTTCTTTTTAATTCACACTACTTTGATTTGGTTTCTGATTCTTTGATACTTTGCTTTCCTTTCTGATTCTATTTCTTTCTCTGTTTAGTTCATTTATATATTCTACTTAAATCAGAAGCTATAGTTTTATAAAATAAGCAACTTGGCTCATGTAATTAGACATAGAGATATACAAGGCAGTCTTATGTATCCATCTCACACTTTAACACATATAATTTATTGTCATAAAAGGCATATGGTATGGGCAACTTAATTTGTGTGATTCCTTCTCCTTTCCCCTCTAAACTGCTCTTCCCCTATATTTACCCATCACAAAAATTTTAACTCTAGTTATAATTTAGTATAGTACCTTAAGTCCAAAACTATCTTTGTCTCTCTTCTCTCATATACATTATCTAATCAATCCAAATTTCCAGACAGCCATTCCTTCAAAATTTATTGAGAATCTGATCACTTTTTCCAGCTATACTTCCTCCATCTTGGACTCCACAATCACTATCTGCTGCATAGATTATTGTTATACAGCTCTAAGAGAGATCTCTGATTTATATCTTCTCTCCAAGCAGCTATTTTCAATTAGCAACCAGAAGGATTCTGTTCAAATATGTCACATACCCCTCCGTTCAAAATTATTCAGTGATGAAGCATCTCACTCAGTTAAAGTCACTGTCCTTACTTTGGTCCAGAAGGCTCTGCATGGGCCCTGTATCTCACATTTTTACCTCACTTTCTCACTCATTGTTATTCCAGCCATACTGATCTTTCCGGAACATACCAAGCATTCTTCTGCTTCCGAGCATTTGTATCATGATTCTTCCTCAGTCTTAACACATGACTCATGCCTTCACTTCATTCAGGTATCTTTGCAAATGTTCCCATACTAGAGATATTTTCCTTCATTGATTATAGGACTGCCCTGGCCATCTTGTATTTCTATGTTTTTCACAATACTTATAACCATTCAATTTGAGTTTTATCTTTCTTTGCCCTTGAAGTCTTCCCTTAGCTTCTTTTCAACAGGAAATAGTTATTATCGGTGCTAGATTCATTTATAGACAACATGGATGTAAAAGTAAACAGAATAGACAAATTCCAATGTCCTTACAATATTTCTACTCTGGTATACTATAAAAACTTCTGATTTTTTAGTAAATATTTAATGAATATATCATGCAAACAGCATATTCTCAGCAGAGTATTAAGAGTAGTTCAAAGTTAAAGGATATATAGAATGGATACTCACCTTTAATTTATTGGAGCATTCACCATCTTTAAAGAAATGGTTCTATAATTGCTCAGGTGAATAATGTGAAATAGGATCAAATCTAAGGCCCACTGGCATTTTATGCCCTTAAATCTAAAAGTCCCCTTGATTACCCTGAAATATATTAATTAAAAAGAAAAATGAGGTATTTTAGCATAAATTTATCATTAACACAAAGTGACAAGTAGTGATTGACCAGTATTAGAATGGTAGGAAATTAGATAAGACATGTTAAAAATAAATTAGTGACTTTGGCTTTGATAAGGAAGAAAGACTATCACACCAATATATAATAAACACTATCAGGAAGATAAAGTATGTGAAGTGCTGGTAGCTATATATAGATAATAATTTTAGGGACAGGAGAAAATTCTTTAAGAGAAATTTTAGGGGATAAGATTAAGAGATAAACTTTAGAAGCTATGAAAATTCCTATTTAGAAAGAAAGATCATGGGCATTAGAGTAGGTTCTCACCATCACTTATCTATCCTCCTTAGTAACAGTGAATATGAAAGAATTGACGGTATTGGGAAAAGCTCAACAGAAGAGTCAAAAGTATAAAGACCTATATTCATAGGAGGATAAGATGTTAAGAGAAGAAAGTGACCATTATTATCAGTTCCAAGTTTCCACAGCCTTTTGAAGAGTTACAGGAAACTGGAAGTATATGAAGAGTAAGTGCCTTTTAATTCACATATGTGGTCTTTATTTCATAGAACACATCTTCTAGGCTTGAATTTGGTCATCAATTGTACATAGTGCTCTCCCTATAAAATAGCCATTCAGGCTCAGCTTTTAAATCAATGATTTAATAACATTTCCACCTTCTCTACTGATTATAATCTAGCTCCTTAAACTGTGGGTTCACAAATATGAATCTGTGCAACATTTTAGAATAAAATTTATTTCTGATTTTTGACAATAAATGGGCTGGAGCGATAGCACTGTGGGTAGGGCATTTGCCTTGCATGCAGCCAACCTGGCCGACACGAGTTCGATTCCTCCGCCCCTCTCGGAAAGCCCGGCAAGCTACTGAGAGTATCTCGCCCGCACGGCAAATCCTGGCAAGCTACCCATGACGTATTCGATATGCCGAACACAGTAACAACAAAGATTCACAATGGAGACGTTACTGGGCCCGCTCGAGAAAATCAAATAAACAACAGGAGGGCAGTGGGCAGTGACAGTGACAATAAATATTTTATACCTATTTTACTTCATTTTCTATTTTATTTAATTTGCATTTTAGGGCCACCCATGGTGGTGCTCATCCAGTATTTCTGGAGTGGGGGATCATGTGGTGCTGTCAGGTATTGAATTGGAGTCAGCTGCATGCAAGCATAATACCTTTAAACTTCCCAAACCCTATGTATACCTATATACTTGAAATCATATAATTATTTCAGGTTTAAAGGGGCCAATAGTGGAAGTTTAAAGTCAAAAGTTTAAGAAACCCTGGATGAGACTACCTTATCTATTTTATTTTAAATTATTTTTATTACAAAGTCTTTCTTCTGAGCTTTTGTATACACAGATTTTATTCATGTATACTTCTTGCCTCTATTGACAAAGTTCTGGCCCCAATTCTTCAATAGTTTATGCCTTATGAAACTACTTCATCATTGGTCCTAATACTGAGATATGTCAGATTAAAAATATAATTTTTATCTTTACAGTGATATCGCTTTGAAACCCCAGATATTAGATCTTTGACAGATATACCAAGAAACATTCTGCCTTTGAATTCATATGACTTTGCAACAGCTCAGAGCTGTGAATTCTATAAACCTCTGTGTCAAATAGGTAGCATTATGTGAACTGACAGTGATATTGAAATGTGATTCAAAGAATCTACCAGGACCTAGATTAACTTTTATCATAAAACACAGAATTAATTACCAATTAATTCAAAATGTTTCACACTAAATAGATATGATTTTCCTTGTGACATAACATAGTTAAAGGAGCAATCAACATGATCAACTTGTATTATAAATACAAATAATTTGCCAGATTATGAATTTATACAGAGAAATTAATCCTTGACCTCAAGCAATTTAAAGCAAGTTATAGAAGCTCATATTATATTTGAGAATCATATCAATACTGACACAATTATCATTGGAATTAAAACATCATATAAGAGCTAGCATTACATAATAATTTCAATTCCAAAGGTCTCTTGGTGCAACAAGAAGATAAGGGATGTCTCCCTGAAAGATAACGTCTCTTGGAAAGAACAAAAGTTGCAATGACCCTCAGACATACAGTGAAAGAACTGAAGTTACCAGGAATTGGAGGAGAGAGGATCTTTTTATAGTCAGTTCTGTATCAAAGGGTTGACCAGTTTGTTAAGCTGGAAAAAAGCCTTCTTTTGTGAACCTTGGGTCTCTGGACAACATGTTCAGTATTGAATTGCACTGAGAAGGTAGTTTTTTAGAAGGCACTCTCATTAACTGAGATGTGATAAAGGATCAACCAAGACTTACCATCTGTTCCTTCACTGCTTTTGCTTCTTTTATTCCGGTGAACACGCCTACTCTCTTCTTCAGTGAATGACTTTTCTTCAGGGAAGAAGAAATTCAAAAGGGCCATCTATAAAAGTAAAACAGAATATGAGTCAAAAGCTAACTCAAGTAAACCACAACCAACATAAAATACTAGATTTTTGTAGACAGTTTACTTTCACCTTAAATTCAATGCAACTAAATTCTGAGCCCATCTACCCTCCATTATACAAATATTTTCATTTTGAATACCATTAATTCAATCATTAAGTCATAAATATTGGTTAATCTCTAAACACTACTTTCATGGCCCAAATATCTATTGCATAATCCCTTAAAGTTTAATTTCTTCATAGTTATATAGTTCAAAAGATCTGGTCACAAATTTCTAAATTCTCTCACATAACACTGATTTATGCCCAGAGTTAAACTTATGTTTGCTATTCATTTTGCACTGCACTATTATTTATCCATTTCTACATTTTATTTGTGCTGAGTTTTTGATTTTTGATTTGTTCTTACAAAAATATATGTCCAGGTATAATGTAACAGTATAATTTATATCAACACTCTTGCAAAAGTCATGATAGCATACACAATTATTTTCTCCTTTCTCAAACACCTAGAGAAATTTCATAGCACCAGTTCCATTTTTGACTCATTTTACTACTTAGTACTATATATAGTGTTTTATGATGATTTTCATGAGTATAGTCTCGATAATGATAACCACAAATTAAATGAATGCATGATGAAATGAATCATAAACTTGTAGCATGGGTACTTTGTGGTTTTAAAAGAATGCTTGTTGTAAACAGTGGGTGGAGTAGTAGGATTGAGAGTGATTATAATTCTGACTCTACCTCTTAATAGGTATGTAACCTTTGGCAAGTTACTTGTTTCAATTTCTTCATAAGTAAATATGAGTGATGTAGTGTGACATAATAGCATTTTGTTCAAAAACTAATTATAGGACTAACACACTATCCAGTAAGCAACACATGCTTAATAAGAATCAGCTACTATCATTAAAATTAATCTTTTACAAAGACAGGTTGTATAGTTTGGGGATAAAAGATCAAAAGAATCTGCATTTTTGTGTCTGTCCCGCTCTTTCTGACTCATTTTGCTTAGCATGACACTCTCCATGTTGATCTAATTATATGCAGAGAGCACTAAGTAAATGATGGTTGGAGGGATTGCTCGAGATGGTAAATGTGTGCTAAAAATAGACTATGGACCAAATATGATGGCTGCTTAGTGCCTATATTGCAAACTATATCACCTAAAAGGAGAGAGAGTAAGAAGGAATGTATCTACCACAGAAGCACGGGTTGGGAAGGAGTGGGGGTGGCGGGTCAAACACTGGGGACATTGGTGGTGGAGAGTGGGCACTGGTGGAGGGATGGACACTCCAACATTGTTTGATTGAAACGTAATTACGAACATTTGTAAGTCTGTAACTGTTTCTCATGGTGATTCATTAAAATAAAAATAAATAGAAAAATAAAAAGAATTTGTATTTTCATCTTCATTTTTGTTCAAGAAAAAATTGGGGGATCAGGGAGCTAGCACAAAGGGCTGAAGTACATGCTTTTCAAGTGTAAAGTAATACCCCAACACCACTGGTAGTAGACTACAGTACAATTGGGTATGGCTCCAAAATCAAAACTAAGACAAACAAAACAAACCCCAATCAATTCCATAATCCTCATGTCTTCTGCATCTGCGGTTAATTTGGTAGTGTCCAAGAAAGTCCTAAAATTCTAATCAAAGTTCCTTTAAAAAATCTTGTGATTCACTGTTTACACATAACAATTATACCCGAGTCTTTTTTTTTTTTTTTGCTTTTTTGAGTTTACACCCGGCGATGTACAGGGGTTACTCCTGGCTTTGCACTCAGGAATTACTCCTGGTGGTGTTCGTGAGACCATATGGGATGGTAGGAATCGAACCCAGGTCCGAGTCTTTTTTTTTTTTGCTTTTTTGAGTTTATACCCGGCGATGTACAGGGGTTACTCCTGGCTTTGCACTCAGGAATTACTCCTGGTGGTGTTCGTGAGACCATATGGGATGGTAGGAATCGAACCCAGGTCCGAGTCTTTTTTTTTTTTTGCTTTTTTGAGTTTACACCCGGCGATGTACAGGGGTTACTCCTGGCTTTGCACTCAGGAATTACTCCTGGTGGTGTTCGTGAGACCATATGGGATGGTAGGAATCGAACCCAGGTCCGAGTCTTTTTTTTTTTTGCTTTTTTGAGTTTACACCCGGCGATGTACAGGGGTTACTCCTGGCTTTGCACTCAGGAATTACTCCTGGTGGTGTTCGTGAGACCATATGGGATGGTAGGAATCGAACCCAGATCGACCACGTGCAAGGCAAATGCCCTACCCGCTCCAGCCCCTATACCCAAGAGTCTTATGAGGCAATGTTAGCATTTTTTAGATATGCATTTACCCATGAAATCAACATGAAAAATTCTGACTATGTTTAAAAATAAAGTTCATAAAGTTACTTAATTAAAATATTAATAAACCATTTTCTCATAATAGTATAAAATCAAACTGCTAGTAGAAAAACAAATCATTCTGGATAGAAGAGTTTTCTTGATAACGAGTGCCTAAACCTTACTTAAACTGCTTTGCATAGAAATTATTCTATATGTAATTGAACTCAAGGCTTGCTTATTGAGTATGTGGAAGGATATTTGCCTGTGTGTTCAATTGCCCCGGCGTTAATAGGTTTATTCTTTAGAAAACTGACATGGGCATAGTCCCCTGTGTATGGCTAGCATTGATCCTGAACCAACAGTCAGCCTAAAGTACAAGAAGTTTGTGGCCAAAAACAAAAATAACGATAAGAAAGAAAACAAAAATGCTTTCTGAAAAAATGTTTTGTTGTGTCATTACTCAGAGAAAAATATTTTAAAAACATGTTTTGATTTTTTGTGTGTCACCACAAGATATTATATTGGTCAAGCGGTTTGCGTTATATGCAATTGAACCAAGTTCAATCACTGGCACTCTATATAGTTCCCTGAGCACTACCAGGAGTGATTCATGAGTTCAGAGCGAGGAGTAAGACCGAAAAACACCAGGTAAGAACCTCCAAACAAACAAAACCCCTAAAATCCACAAAAATCACAATTCATTACATATCAATGCATGCTACGTTAGAATGATGCATAGAGTCTCACTTTTGGTAGCAAGAGGTAAAATAACCAATACAGACTGGGAGTGAACAAGGCTTTATGAAGTAGGTATTACCTATGAATCCTGAAGTGTTGGAATATAGCTCTAAACATTTTAGGTCTAACATTGATCTGTCCTTTCTCCCTTGCCACAGGGAGCTTAGGTTTATCGGGTTAGCCCCATCACAATGCTCCCGAGTCACTCCCATTACTTTGTGTGCTTATCTGTAACTTCTCTGTGCTCTCTTTCCAATCATTTAATCACCTTTTCCACCTAATCAGACTCTGTTAACTTGCAAGGTCAGATCCTCCTATGGACACTTGACTTCTATTCATGAGTAATATATTGCCTTTCTCCTCTCCTTATGTCTTTTGCATAGTTTACTTTAAAGCAATATCCTTTTTGTATAGACACAAGAAGACAGTTAATATTATGCTTTTGCAACTTGGGAGTTAATTAACTCTGAATAATATTCACTCCCGTGCATCTCATTTTTCGACTTAACCCTCAGTTGCCCTTAGTTCCTAGCACCACAAAAGCAGGGTCCCGACGAGAGACTGAATAGACCGAGGGAAAACTGTGAGCTACCCTGGCATCTAAATGGGCCAGAACAAAGTGGCACAACAAGTTAAGAGCATGGTAATGGACAAATTCTGTCATGATCCAAAAGTAATGACGAGATTAGGATCCTCCTAGGGTTAGGAAAGACTAATCTGAGCTGAGCACTGTAGTCTGAGTGCCCCAGGATGGCCCCAGGAGAGCAAATCTGTAAGTTTAATGTATCTCTTACTGTGTTTATACAAAATTATTAATATTATGAATGTATGTTTGTTGGACTAAGGAGAGGAGAAGCACACCCATAGTTGGAATTTCAGTCTTGGAAGGGTCCTCTTATTGAATGAGTATCTGTCCTAGAAGAAGCTTCCCCTGAGGAAAGAACTTTACCTCTATTGATTGTATGACCACACCTATGTGTAAACCCCAACTCCTCATGCTTTGGGATTTAACTAAGGCTTTAAGAGGGGGGCTGAGGGTGCGAGAAGGAGAATAAAGTGGGATCCAGAAGGAGAATGAAGTAGCATGGGGGAGGAAGAGCAGGAGGAGACTCAGAAGAGAATCGAGAGGAGATTGGAATAAACAGCAATTGGATCAACAATCCTGACCCTTTTTCCTTCCTTCTTCTGCCCATCGTCATCAGCCACGGAAGCAGAGACCACGGAACGCAGGTGGCGAGAGAGATAGAGCGCCGCGGCCCTTTAGTATATACTGAAGGATGTTAAGGATTTTGTGAAGAGTGGGAAACTAAAAGTGAATTCCAGTTATAGAGATAATTGTGCTTAAAGTTTCAGAAGAAAGAGGAAGTCACGGTTTGGGGAAATATAAGTAGCTCAGACAAGTGCTAGGACGTTGAGATTAATGGTAAGGAATGAGAGAAAAGACCTTAAATCAGGGTCAGGGAGGTAAGGAATTTACTCTTTTTAATTGCAAGTGTTTCTCTGAAGAATTTTTTTATGAATTTTTGACTTATGAAAATTTGAGCTATAATTCATATAAAATAAAATGCACATATTTTTAATTATTACAGTTTGTGAGTTTTGACTAATGTACGTACTTTTGTCGTTGCCTCCAAAATGAGATATTATGAAACATTTCCATAGTCCTATAATTTTCCCTTGGGCCTCATCCACTCTTTTTTTTTTGGCTTTTTGGGTCACACCTGGCGATGCACAGGGGTTACTCCTGGCTCTGCACTCAGGAGTTACTCCTGGCGGTGCTCAGGGGACCATATGGGATGCTGGGAATCGAACCCGGGTTGGCCACGTGCAAGGCAAATGCCCTACCCGCTGTGCTATCTCTCCAGCCCCGTCATCCACTCTTTTAAAAAAATTTTATTAGT